AATCTTAAACAACAACAACAACATGGGGTAGAGTAGCTTAGGCTATTCCTACCCTCGGGAGGGGAGTGGGGTTGGTGGGGGTTAGGTAACTGATACGAGTGTGGAGCCCCAACGCTGCTCCTCACACAACACAATCATGACCGTATTGTGTGGAAGAGTTGGGGGGGGGATAATATTGAGTGCGGGGGGGGGGATATTGAGTGCGGGGGGGAGGGATGAGAGGAGGGGCGTGAGGCTCTTGTGGGCGTGAAGCACCTAGAGTGGCGCCCTCTTTTATCTTAGGTTCCCTACCTGCCTGCCTGGTTCCTTAGTCTCTTCTCCCCCTTCCATGTTATGCCATGCCTTCCCAGCTTCCATTCCCTTCCCCCTTCCCAGAATCGACCCTTCTATCACCTGATGTCCCTGTTCACCTAGCAGTAATAGGTGCCTGGGAATTAGACAGATTGCATTCTGGGAATATGTGTGTATGGGAGAAAATATATGTAGTAGATATGATTAAGGAAAAATAGGTTGGGAGTCGGTTGATATGGCAACCGACGGTTAGAAAAGCGGGGTCCAAGAGCTAACACCTGGATCCTGATTGTGAGGCGCGGAAGGCCACCAGTTTTAGACAGACAGATTTTCTCAGACTTTTGTCTCCGTCAGTCTATAGTGCCGGAGGAGACGGGCGTAAGCCTGTGGCGTGGGGTGACTATCTCAGACTTTGGTGGCTGGAGGATTAAGACGTAGTTATGTATGTCTGGGGAAAACCCACAAGGTGCAATGTTGACAGTTTGAAACGATCTTAAGTTCACTTCTTCATGACTTGGTAGCAAGTAATATTTTGAGGTTTATTTCTGTCGCGCCGCGAGTAGCAGAGTCGCGCCGCGCGCGGCAAGATGCTGTGGGGTATTTATCGACAACATCGGAGGTAAACGCGTTGACTCTAGTGTTCGTCATCACTCTTTTGTTTTTTTGAAACGTGGGCAACCGTGGAGCCAAGAGCCACTTGTTGTCCCCTCCCACCAATCGAGCTGAAGCACGTGCAGCTGACCAATCAAAACCCAGCGTCGCTCTGGAGTATTCCTTTGGCGTGAGACCAGGTGGTTGGTGAAGACGTCAATAGTATCAGTGGTTTAGAGGCGTTGTGAAGGATCCGTGAGTGCGTGGGGGCGTCCTGGGGGCCACAGGGAGCTGGCCCGGACAGTTGAGGTAGAAGTGTCGCTGGGACTAGAGGGCGCTCCTCTTTGGCCGCCTTCGCCTCCCTCGGGGTCACTCGCCGCCCGTCGCCCGTTTCGCGGGAGCGTCGATGTTCCGTGTATCTCTTCGCATCGACTTCGATGTTTACTTAACGAGTGTAAATTTGCACAGGTGTGACGATGGCCTACCTGGTAGACGTCTTGAGCTTAATGGCGTGTAAGTTCTTCTGTCACCTGTCTGTCCCGCCTTACTAGACCACCACGCTGCCAATCTATCAACCCCTCAGAGACGGGACAGATGACCACCTCTTGTACACTAAAGCGTTGTCAAAACCTTCGAGAAGGCTGTACGGCTATTCGAACCGGTTATATGATATGGCGATTTGGGCTGACGTGTTGGCGTGAGGTTGGTTTGGGTTGAGGAGGGGGACATCCATGGCCACGCTGGTGGGGTCTGAGGTGGCCACACGCACCCATCCACCCCACGGCCACCCACCATGGCCTTCCTCGTTCACGTGGCTCTTATCATCGCATGTAAGTCTTATGCTGTCATCACCCTCCCTGCCCCCCCCCCCCCAAACATCACCCTGCAGCCACTAGAGTAGCTCGCCCTCACCCTTGTAGTGGTGCCCACCCAATCCTTCGTAGTGTGGTTCACCTTAGCCTCCGTAGTGTGGCCACCCACCTCCGTATACACCCTGATTATACACCCTGAAGATTAAGCCACCTAAGAACTGGCTTAGGTGGCATGAATAGATGAATAGCCTGTAATTAGCCCTGTTCATCCCTCCATAGTACAGCCCCCTCCCCCCTCCACCTTTCTAAATTCACGACTAAAAGTCACATTCATTCTCAAAAAATGTATCACTTACGGGCTATTCATGCCCGTGCTACCTCTTGGGGTGGTTTAATCTTCATCAATCAATCTCTAACCCCCCTACCTTACGCCTCACATGGCGTCTGGGTTGGTCCTTCAGTCAAAGCTCTGGCGTTTTGGACAAATCACGTCAGGCTGTTTTTATTCGCCATGTTTTCCTGAACTGCTTTGTGAAGATCACATTGCACCGAGCGCTGGTTTGTCTCGTTTTGTATACATTAATTCATTGTCTGTGGTGTTAGACAAAGTGTATATGGTACTGGGTAATGTATAGGTATGGTACAGGTTATGTATAGCTATGGTATGGTACGGTACAGGTTATGTATAGCTATGGTATGGTACGGTACAGGTTATGTATAGGTATGGTATGGTACGGTACAGGTTATGTATAGCTATGGTATGGTACGGTACAGGTTATGTATAGCTATGGTATGGTACGGTACAGGGGACATATTTGCCTGGGCGTTTGATCCGGATTTGGGGTGAAGTGAGGATTTGAATCAGGATTATACTTCTGTGGGGGAAAGGGGAGGGTGATGAGGTTGGGGGTAGGAGAGGGATAAAGAGCGGAGGATGGATAGAAGAATGGATAAAAGGACAGAAGGAAGTATGAAGGTGGTTTTCATTTCTTTCGGTGAATTATACCTATGCGGCATTCATACAGAGTATGAATATTGCCTTTTCTGGCTTTAAATTGGCTGCAGTTGTTCACCTCGTATCTGATCCCTTCAGAATCTTGTATGCAGTGATTATGTCCCCCCTCTGTTTAGTCTCTTGTGAGGGCGTTTCCTTAATATGTTCCCGTAGCATAATCCAGTTAGTAGTCTTGCTGATGCATGTACTTGTCACACACAGAGATCACACTAACGTGATGCATCAAATGAACAAATCCACAAGGGCCGTGACGAGGATTCGAACCTGCGTCCGGGAGCATCCCAGACACTACCTTAATCGACTGAGCTACGACAGGGTTAAAAGGGTTGAAACCGAAGTTCTACTGAACTTACTGGATCCCGTAACCTCTCCGAGGCACAAACCAGGCAGTCGATTAAGGCAGTGTCTGGGATGCTCCTGGACGCAGGTTCGAGTCCTCATCACTGCCCTTGTGGATTTGTTCATGTACTTGTGTTTCAGGAGGTGAGGAATTCATACCGGTTCTGTGTACTCTATTATGGGCCTCACTAGGCTGTATATTGACTAGACCACACACTAAAAGGTGAAGGGACGACGACGTTTCGGTCCGTCCTGGACCATTCTCAAGTCGATTGTGATGAAGTAATTTTTTTTTTAATTATCAAGGGAAAGCGCCAAGCCATTACGATTTTATAGCACTGGGAAGGGGTCAGGATAAGGATTTGGGATGGGACGGGGGGAAGGAATGGTGCCCAACCACTTGGACGGTCGGGGATTGAACGCCGACCTGCATGAGATGAGGAAGTAGATGCAGGCAATAAATAGGCAATGCCGTGTTGATGTTTTCCAGCTAACTTGGATACAGTCTTATGTTATCCTGTTGCGTGTGCCTCTGATTGATTGATGATTGATGAAGATTAAGCCACCCAAGAGGTGGCACGGGCATGAATAGCCCGATGAATTGATGATTGATTGATTGATTGATGATTGATTGATGATGATTGATTGATGATTGATTGATGCTTGATTGATGATTGATGATTGATTGATGATTGATGAAGATTAAGCCACCCAAGAGGTGGCACGGGCATGAATAGCCCGTAAGTGGTATCTTGAGGTTATCTTGAGATTATTTCGGGGCTTTTTAGTGTCCCCGCGGCCCGGTCCTCGACCAGGCCTCCACCCCCAGGAAGCAGCCCGTGACAGCTGACTAACACCAAGGTACCTATTTTACTGCTAGGTAACAGGGGCATAGGGGTGAAAGTAACTCTGCCCATTGTTTCTCGCCGGCGCCTGGGATCGATCCCGGGACCACAGGATCACAAGTCAGTGTGCTGTCCGCTCGGCCGACCGGCTACCTATCTGTGCTCATTACCATATAGTTTACACACAGTCTGAGTTGAACTCTCAGCAGACATTTGTCTGGCTCTGCTGGAGTTGGTCTTCTTGCAATTCTCTGCAGTCCACCTCAAGTCCAGGCTTGAAGGAGTAGAACAACTCCCAGAACCCCATCTGGGAGCCGTATTATTCAGGGAGCCGGTCGGCCGAGCGGACAGCACGCTGGACTCGTGATCCTGTGGTCCTGGGTTCGATCCCAGGTGCCGGCGAGAAACAATGGGCAGAGTTTCTTTCACCCTATGCCCCTGTTACCTAGCAGTAAAATAGGTACCTGGGTCAGCTGTCACGGGCTGCTTCCTGGGGGTGGAGGCCTGGTCGAGGACCGGGCCACGGGGACACTAAAAGCCCCGAAATCATCTCAAGATAACCTCAAGATAACCATCCAGGTACAATCCGCTGTTTTTACAGTCATTAGTTTCAGGTCGCCAGCAAACATTGCTTTCGGGTAAGATATTCACATAATTTAGAAATCATAATGGTTCCAGGATCGACCGCTAGGAGGAGTTGGAGTGTGTACTGACCTGTTTGTACCTGTAGGATCGAGCTTTAGCTCTAGGAGCGTTTGTAGTCGCTGGTTATCTAATACAATGACTTGTGCCATAGAGCCTACTTGGATAGCGTGTCTGCGAGTTGTTCTACTCCCTAGCCAGGCCAGTCTCGACAACTAATCTTTCTAATCTTTCGTTTTCTAATCTTTCAATCTCATTAAGTATTCTGTATTATTCGTGGGGTTAATGAAGCTTTAGAGAACATTTGTTCTGTTTTGCCCGAAACGCTATGCGTACTAGTGACTTTAGGTATTGTATGTACTATCTCTATCTTTAAATCAAACAGAATGTTTGTACTGTAACTCTGCAACTATGTATGCATTTTTTCCCAAATAAATTATTATTATTGTGTTCCTTTGTCAACAGTGAGCGTGGCCCAGGAGCCGTCGCTGGAACTTCTGCCTGCCAACATCTTGAAGGCGATAGACGAAGGGGTCTACATCTCCTGCACCGCCAACGTAGAGGACCCCGGCCTGGTCACCGAGATGATGTGGTCCGGACCCAATGGCAAGGAGATCCCCAACATCGACGGCACGTGAGTACTCTTGTGGTGTTCTCAGGGCGGCTCTTGTCTTGGGGGGTGCGAGGGAGGGAGGGAGGCAGAGATCCTGGCCAAGGAGACGAGCTAGAAAAGTACTCTTGTGGTGTTCTCAGGGCGGCCCTTGTCTTGGGGGGTGCGGGGGAGGGAGGGAGGCAGAGATCCTGGCCAAGGAGACGAGCTAGAACTTAATCTTAGACTATTAAATCTTAAAGGAAAAAGAGGGGGAAGCTGGTACAATAGAAGGGTGATGGAGATGAGGGTGGAAGTTAGGATAAGATATAAACTTTGAGGAAAGGAGGATACTTAAAACACAATGAAGCCTCATTACCTGTAATATGATCTAAGAAGATCTTTGTAGCAAGACAGCGGGATCGTAGCAGCGTCCTGGGTCACCCCCAGATGCGTGTCTCACCAATGGGCCACGATGTGCTCAAAGTTACACAACCCAAGGCCCTTCCAGTCCCTCTAGGAGTCTGGAGTGCCACACAGAGCTGGTAGCCAAAGTTTGCCATGCAGCCCACATTCACCCTGGCGCAGGTAATGGTCTCCGTCAAATGTTCCTGTCAAATACACAATGAAAGGACAATAGCGTAATATGATAAAACCTTTTGAGGGGCAGGAGGGCTACCAGCTCCGTGCTTAGAGAGAGTCCTATTGGGGCCCCGGCTGACTTGAGCCTGTGTAATCTTCAGCATATCATTGTGCATGGGTATAGGGGTCCCATGACGTACCCATGCCGTCCTTATACCCATACCTTGTACCCAGTCGACCCTGCCCTCCTCCTCCAGTTTCTCGGGATAGTTCATACATAATCGAGGCACTACCTGGAGTATGTGTGGTTTGTTAGAAGAATGGAATGTGCATAGTATCCGGGTGCTCGGGCTCGGGGTTATGAAAGTAAGGTTGGAACCACACAACTGTTGTTGTGTTTAGTAGGAAGCTGTAGTGTGGGGGGGGGAAGCTGGGAAAGAAGGGAAAGTGTGCAATAGGAAGCGAGATATAATGAGCTAAGGGAGACAAACTGGCGGAGATAAGGAAGTAAACAGAGTTAGGCGAGCGGTGATTGGCTTAGGTAGAGCCAATCGCCGTCGGGTCGGGAAGGGAACCGGTCTTGTGGGGTGACGTTGGGTCCATTGTCAATCCATTCTGGGAGATGCTAGAGCTCGCGTATGGAGATGAGGAAGGAAGAGAGAGAGAGAGAGAGAGAGAGAGAGAGAGAGAGAGAGAGAGAGAGAGAGAGAGAGAGAGAGAGGGGGGGGGAAGGAGAGGGGGAGAGGGAGAGAGGGAGGGGGGGGGAGGAGGGGGGAAGGAGGGAGAGGGAGAGGGGGGAGGAGAGGGGGGAGAGGGAGAGGGAGAGGAGAGGGGGGAGGAGAGGGGGGAGGAGAGGGGGGAGAGGGAGAGGGAGAGAGAGGAGAGGGAGAGAGAGAGAGAGGAGAGAGAGGAGAGAGAGAGAGAGAGAGAGAGAGAGAGAGAGAGAGAGAGAGAGAGAGAGAGAGAGAGAGAGAGAGGGAGAGAGGGAGAGAGGGAGAGAGGGGGAGAGGGGGAGAGGGAGGGAGAGGGAGAGAGAGATTTGTTGATTGATTAATTGATTGATTGTGAACATCATACAATGGAACAGAATTATTAGCTAAATCTCATGCATATTACAGCCTGGGGAATCAATTCCGCCAATTGATTGGATTTTTTTTTTGCAGTTTTTCGAAATTTAAGTTTAGTGTGGCAAAGACCACATGCGTGGTAAGATGTTAAGGATTTAAGATACTGTATGCAAGAGTCTGGTTAAGAAATTCGATCAGTAATAAGGTTCATTTGTCATGTGCTTCTAAGGTACCATATAGGAAAAACAATTGCCTTCATTTACTTACTTCATAACAATTAGTGATATTAACGGTTCAGCAAACTTTTAAGAAAGAGAGCTTTGGCTCCATCTATAGGTAAGAGTGTTAGTTTGTAGGTGAGTCCTTAGCTAAATGTGGTGTTGGACGATGGATAAAACTGGAACACTAATGGTATGATGCAGAAGGTATCTAGGGGGTGGGGAAGGGGAGAAGGAAGGGCGGCAGCTAAGGAAGAGAAGGTGAGGAGCAGTTGAAGGGGAAGTGGTGAAGGGGAAATAGCTAAGGGGGAGAGAGAGAGGGGGGAAAGGAGGAGAACCTAAGGGGACAGAACCTTAGGGGACAGTCTCCCTTCTCGCCCGAGAAGGGAGACGAGTGCTTGCGGCTCTGGGAGATGCCAGAGATAAGTGGTGATCTCCACGTCCTTCGCCATCACAGCTGTGTCGTGCCACAGGGGGGTTAAGGCTAATGTTCTGGGAGTTTTGTTGGTGGGGCAGCGTTCCAGGAGAGTGGTGATGGTCGTCTAGGGTACAGGCGGTGTTCCAGGATGGCGGCGGGCGGTCTAGGGTAGTGGTGTTCCAGGAGGGTAGAGGCAGTGTTCCAGGAGGGTGGGGGTCTAGGGCAGAGGTGTTCCAGGAGGGTAGAGGTGGTGTTCCAGGAGGGTAGAGGCAGTGTTCCAAGAAGGTGGCGGTCTAGGGCAGAGGTGTTCCAGGAGGGTGGGGGTCTAGGGCAGAGGTGTTCCAGGAGGGTGGGGGTCTAGGGCAGAGGTGTTCCAGGAGGGTAGAGGTGGTGTTCCAGGAGGGTAGAGGCAGTGTTCCAGGAAGGTGGCGGTCTAGGGCAGAGGTGTTCCAGGAGGGTAGAGGTGGTGTTCCAGGAGGGTAGAGGCAGTGTTCCAGGAGGGTAGAGGCAGTGTTCCAGGAGGGTAGAGGCGGTGTTCCAGGAAGGTAGAGGCCGTGGGAATATCAGGAGCAGTACAAATAATATAGTGGCGTTAGGTGTGTGGGTGCTGCAAGAGTCCTAAGGCCAACGGTACCGTCATGGATCAACGTCCAGAGTGACGTCGGAGACGGGAGGGAGACATTATTGGCTGCCTTGGGAAGAGAATCTTAAGAAACGGGAGGATTTTGCTCCTGGAATCCAAGGAAATGAGCGAGGAAGTGAATGTCTTGAATGAGGGGAAGACAGGTTACATATTTCTAGTTGATATTTACATCAGCAGATGAATTAGGATTTTTACTATGATGGAAGAGTGATATGTAATTGTGGATGTTAAGCCCTGAAACCATCACAAGGTTCCAAGTGGCTTTTGTGTGTGTGTGTGTGTGTGTGTGTGTGTGTGTGTGTGTGTGTGTGTTTGTTTTGGGGGGAGGTTGGAAAGTAGGTGAAAGCATCTGTGTGTTTACTCTGAGCTCAGGCGGGAGCAGTAGGCTGCTGGCACCCAGCTGTGGAAAGGAATTCGTTCACGAAGCATGAATGTAGAGGGAAGGGAAAAGCTGAATTGAGGGAGGAAATCTGAACAGAATTAAAAATAAATAAAGCGAGAATGAAAGGGAATGCAGAATGAAGGGTCTAAGAGCCAACAGCTCGATCCTGCAGGCACGAATAGTAAATACACACACACACTTCCCCCACCACAAACATACATATATACATATGTTGTACGTCAGTAATTTGTACATATGAATGTACAGTGTGGTGATTACACACATAAGTATGATTGCAGTATATTGAGTGGGTTGGGAGGTTGAGGAGCATCATATATTTAAGGGATGATACAACCATTCCCCATTTTTACGGGTTATTCATGCCCGTGCCAACTCTTGGGGTGGCTTAATCTTTATCAATCAATCAATCCCCTCCCAGCTAATAGATATAGGAGCTGGGAGAAGGCAACTTGAGCTTAGGGGTCAAGGAGGGATTAGAAGACAAGGCAACTTGAACTTAGGGGTCAAGGGGGAAGGGGATAAGGAGACAAGGCAACTTGAGCTTAGGGGTCAGGGGAATATGAAGAGAGAGAGGAGAGAAATAGTGCTTAGGAGGAGGGGATGATAGACGTGCCAAGCAAGGTGCTGGGGGTGACGAGGTCAGGTCAGTAATAGGTTGGTGGGTATTAGTATAGTGATTTAGACTAGGGTGGCAATTCTCTTATAATTGGTGGAAGAATTCCTAATACTGTATATTATCTCTCTTTATTTTTGTGCACATCATGAATTACTTGTTTCTGATACTGTTAAGTAGAGTTAAAAATCTTCAACCATATTTTGTACTCTTTTTAAAAAATGCTGTGTGGTATATGTTTATTTTTCAATATTAATTCAAACACAGGCTTTAACGCCACTTGCAGACATATGTTTGGATTCTAATCTACGCTTCTTAACCGTGTGACTTGACCTCTGCTTTTCCTGTTTTTTTTTTTTCCTAATTTCTGCGGCGGCAGGCAAACCAGGTAGGGTGGGTGATGTGCTGCTCTGGGAGGTTACCTCTCCCCATGGCCCTCTAGGCCTCCCCAGGTGATACTTGACCGCTCTTTCCTCCTATCAACTGCAAGAGTTCTACTTGTGGGAGACTGGTAGCCGCTCCCACACCCCCCCCCCACACTCTGTCCAGCTTGTCCAAACTTCAGCTTGTATGCACATGTTCACAATGTCATTGTTTTGACATTGCAATTTGCGGATAATTTACAGCCAGTTTCAGACACCCTTTTTTTTTTTTTAAGCAGTCACAGTCGCCATCTCATACCATAAAACTTTTGTATATCCTGAAGTAAAGAAAATGGCAAATACCCGAGATATAATTTTGTGAGCATGACCAGATCCACCTTTTGAATTTCAATATTTTTAAAGCTAATGTTCATGGAAAACTGGCATGATATCATAGTTCTGCAATAAAGGGATTATGTCAGTTGTGGCCCTATATACGTTCATAAAACATTATGGAATTTCTGCATGCGTCCCATTGAGGATAGTTTGGGTAGGAATACCCAGGCATGATCTGTGACGAGTTGCAGGGGCAGCATTATCTATCCCCCCCCCCCCTTCTACTGGCCTGAACTTGGCCTAAAGGGCTGTGGAGAGAGGTATCCTTTCCAGTCGTAGAGAACGGGAATGCACATGTACCCTTCTAGCCGGACCTGCATCCTAATTTGTCCTGCTATATTTGGTGTTATTTTGAGATATTGAGCATTTTTAATGAGCATCCTGTACTGTTCTGCATCATACCCCAGTTGTTGATGATCCTGCCACACTAAAGAATGCTCCTGGGATGGGTGGTAAGGTGGATGTGGTGGAGGTAAGCATGGCAGCATGTTGTAGTAGGAGGGGAGCCAGTGCTCCTTACACCCCCCCGCCATGGCTTTACCCTTCCTCATACTCCACACATTATGCAACAACACCCAGTATTCCACGCAGCAGCTCTCACTAGTTTCTAGCGTGTCAATAGACTCTAGTAACACCATCAGCCATACACATTTAGTCACAGAGGATGTTTTTTGAGTATTAAATGTGTTGGTAGTGGCATACTGCTCCACCTAGATTGGATGTTCCAGTATACAGTATATATTACGTACTAGAACAATTGGGGAAAAGAGAGTTACTGTATGTGCCATTGGCTTGACCTAGGGTGTTGATAGAAGACGCAAGATCTTCGTGTATCTGTCTATGAGGATCTTGGTGGTGATAGCAAGTGTCACCAAAAGAGGTTGTATTAAAGCAATCCATCACTAGCAGCGTCTCTCCATTTTATTACCACCAACAGCGGCTTCAGCAGCGGCATTGCTATTATGAGCGAGATCTGGTCGCGTGGTAGTGATGGAGACGTGTCAGTAGTATGCGATGTATGTTACACGCACTAATAGATTTATCGTATAGATGTTGCAAATGTTTGATAGTGTTATCTTGAGATGATTTCGGGGCTTTAGTGTCCCCACGGCCCGGTCCTCGACCAAGCCTCCACCCCCAGGAAGCAGCCCGTGACAGCTGACTAACACCCAGGTACCTATTTTACTGCCAAGTCCAATGTGCTGTCCGCTCGGCCGACCGGCTCCCATAAGCTGTGTTGGGTGATGGTGTGTTCATTGTGTTCTCTTCGCACAGTTAGCTCCATATTAGCTTTCTCCTCAACAGCTTTGACCCTCACACAGTAACTTTCAGCTCAACATAAAATAACGAATACAGTAGTTAGAATAATAATATACAGTACTGTATATAGAATCAGCATTGTGAATTAAAAGAATTTGCTAGTGTGAAAAAGCATTATGCTTGAGTCAGATCAGTGTAGGTCTCATAATTAGGCAAAATCTGGTGATAAATTATTTTGTAGCCAAATGAGAAGAGGTGTGTTGACCTGGCTTTACCTGGGATTTACTGGAGGGCCACTATTTTAAGTGGCCTTGATGGAGACCAACAACTTGTCAAAATTCCCCTCCAAAATTCATTTATTCATGAGGAATTTTTCCAGCTGAATTTTAAATTAAAGTAGCTAATTTGATTCATGTAGAGAAAGTGATTAATTGTTTATAGTATACAACAAATTCAAATGTATTTTGTTAAACTTAATTTTCATTTTTGAATATTTAAATCAATTAAAATTATAAAATGTGGACTACACGTTGGCCTTTCTTGGTACTATAGTTATGCCCTCTTATTTCAGCTGTATGTGCTTACCTCTCTGTCCAACATAGAAATTTACCTGAAATTTACCTGAGGGCCATTTATTGCAAGGGCTGAGGAAATTTATTGCAAGTTTTACATAGGGTTTTGTACACCAACCTATTGCTGCAAAGGATGGAGCTGAAAGTGTGGCAAATTGATTTAGAATCATTACCAATGCTGGGTTTCTTGCCACCAGACGCAGCTGAAGACTTTGGATCATACACAGCCAGTCAGATTGTGACTGACCTTGAAGAACCAATCTGGCAGGTCTGATGAGAAAGGCCTGTATGGAAGACCATTCAAAAGAGAGGGCTTGAAAGTGTTAGGTGGTGTGACTGACCCTGAAACAAGTCATTTCCAGAACCCTGGATGGACGGGAATTATACCAATATATGTTCTGAAGGTCGAAGGACGCGAGATAAAATTAACTCGAAACCACCTAGTAAACACATTTGCCAGGCCTAACAAATGACATGTTAGGCAAAGGAAGTGGGCATTGACTCCCGACAAACAAAAGATCATGCTCTACTTGCTCAAGTCCACGAGAGCTGTCAAAAAAATGTCACAATCATAATAAGACCTATGTTTCTTTCTTCAAAGTATTAGTTTTGTTGACTTTGCTTCTGGTTACTGGGTTGGAGAGCTTCACACTCATTTGGAAGCTGGGGTTTTGCTCTCTTGGTCTTGGGAGTTGCATTTTCTTCGTTTACAGCCCTCTCCTTTCTGGCCAAGAATTTACCAGAATTGATCTGAGAGGAAAGGACGTGACCTTGACGAGGACAGGAAGCCAGGGGTTTGTTTAAGATCCCCCCCTTATTTGTCCTGATGATTTTATCGAGCTGGATCTTGAATTACAGAGGTGTTTTGGCATTAACGGCTTTGGTGGGTAGGCAGCTCCATGGGCATATAACCCTTTGGGTGGAAAGGCATCTTCTGTTTTCTATCCTATATTGTGGCTTGTTGAGCTTGAAACCATTGTTGGTTACCTTTAAGTGATTTCGGGGCTTAGCGACCTTGTGGCCTGGTCGTCGACCAGGCCTACCTGTATTTAGTACAGTATAGAGAATTGGAGCTTGTAGTTGTATACTACACAAAAAGTTGCATAAATGGTAACTAAATTAAAAAAAAACTTTACTCAAATGATTGTACATTTATAATTGATTCAGCACTTTCATATATACAGTACAGGAAAAATTGCAGTGATATACCCGTACATGTTTCATGTTGCACTAAGTGTTACTCTTTTTTTTTTGTCGTGCTTAGGTGGTGGATAAGTGTTTATGGCTCATATGTTGGCTTTAGTAAAGTTAATTCCAGTGAGTTTAACAACAACAACTGTGCTGTTAAATCTCAGTTGAAATGTTATTTAGTTTTGTAACTGTACACTGTGTTAGATAATGTTTCGATGGTGTGTTTGGGATTTCTAGACAATGGGGACATTTCCTCTTCCTTGGAACGTGTAGGCTTATTTACCATGCACATGGGTATCTAAGCCTGATGTGATGTAACTCTCGGTTGATAATTTCAATGTAGATTGCAATATTTTCTCTCATTCTTTACAAGTTACTCCCTTTTTCTCTGCAGGGGAAGGTAGGGAGGAAGTCAGCTGACCATAGTAACCTAGGTCCAGATTCACGAAGCACTTACGCAAGTACTTACGAACGTTTACATCTTTCCTCAATCTTTGACAGCTTTGGTTACATTTATTAAACAGTTTACAAGCATGAAAACTTTCCAATTAACTGTTGTTATTGTTATAAACAGCCTCCTGGTGCTTTGCAGCTCTGTAGCTGTTTAATAATTTTAAACATAGCCGCAAAAGATTGAGAAAAGCTGTACAGGTTCGTGAGTACTTGCATAACTGCTTCGTGAATCTGGCCCCAGGTTGGGCGCGAGTGCCTCACTGCAGGGCGGCAAAACATGATGGTCCCCCTCTGAGGCAGAGATGACTGGTACAGTATTTCAAAGGAAGATCTTTGAACATGCCAGATCTCTCTACCTACTCACTCAACCTTTCTCCCTCTCCTCTCCCTTTTCTTCTCTTCTCCCCTTCCCTCTTTCCTCTCTTCTCCCCTTTCATCTTTCTCCCCCTCTTCCCCCTTTCCTCTTCCCCTCCTTTCACCCTTAACCCACCCCCTTCTTTGCCTTTCTCTCCTTTCCAAATTGTAATTTGCAGTTTTCCTCTTTCCTACTGTTGGAGTTAATCCTAATTCTAAATCATTCAAGCATTTGTTTCTTATTGCCTACTCCTCCCCTTTGTTTCACCCTGTTCTTATTCTCTCTCCCTGTCATATTCTGTTTATCTCCAAGTGGTTGTGTACTCGCCTAGTTGTGCTTGTGGGGGATGAGCTTTGGCTCTTTGGTTCCTCCTCTCAACCGTCAATCAACAGGTGTACAGATTTCCGAGCCTACTGGGCTCTATCATATCTACATTTGATACTGTGTATGGAGTCTGCCTCTAACACACCACTTCCTAGTGCATTCCATTTACTAACTACTGTGTGTGCCGAGACCAGTGCACATTAATGCTTTATTATTATATACATAATACGTACCAGGAAAATGGGAGCTTGAAGCTCCACACTTGACAACACTGCTTGATATATATATATATAGAGTGGAAGGGAGATTTAGTATAATCACAGTGTATGTATTTCCAAGTTGGAATTTTGTTTTTTTAATTAATGTTTATTTCAGTTGCAATATTTGCCTGTGACCAAACCGAACAGTATCTCACTGAAGTTATTTTAGGTACAGTATTTGACAGCAGTTTACAGTAACACATACAGGTACTTTTGCATTTAATGCAGTTCTCCTACTTGTAATCCATGTCTTTAGAATAGGAGTAAGTTTTGCTACTGATTACGAACTTGAGATGTGTTAATCATTATTGTATATTTGTCTGTAGTGTAGTGCATAGTGTAGGTTTGTTATGAGTGACATGCATAATTCCGTATATTTCAGGACATATTCTGATATGAAAGATATTTTTCAGAAATAATGCACAAGTTTTGCATAATAGGCCATAATTAGTTATCTATACAGTATATGGAATGATACTTTAGTGTATATGGGCAATGTAAGTTTGCCATGAGTTGATATGCTGTTACTCAAATTCCGAATTTTGATCTGTATTGGCGTAAGTTTCAAACCTGCAAAGTGGTACCTTTGCATGGCCTTGTTGCATGACTGTTAGCGGGCCATGAGCATCTAGGTGTACTGTGGCCCTTAATCTGCCTCAAAGTACAGTATAGACTTTAGAAGAATGGGCTAAATCCTTTAGTATGGATATGCTGGCCTGGGACTAATTTTTCTAGATTCTAGCAGATGAGACCTGCATGGGCATTCTTATCAGTACTTAACTTACTTAACAACTGTCACCAAATAGACAGTGAGCAAGTACTATACTGAATAGTTGTTAGTAGTACATAAGTACTTGAAGACAAGCATGGTGAAGTGTCATACTGTAATTTAGTTAAATTGTTTTCCCTACAGTCAATAATAAACTATCTGAAGGGTAAGATTAAGACCGTCTGGATATGGTACTCGTCTTGAGGTTCAGTTCTTCCAGCAATCTCTTTAAATTATTATTACTGTATGTCTAAATTTAAAATACTTGAACTCCTTATTTCTATTAGCATGAACTATTTCTTATCAGTAGTACTGTCAAGGCAGTAGAGAGAGAGCATATCTACTGAGATAACAATAGCAAGTCAAAAAATATAAACAATGAGTACCAGATAATATAGTACAGTAGTGTACTGTAAATACAATTGTTGACAATTTAGAGATGGCTCTCAGATTGACAAATTAAGCTCCATTATTACTATACTGTACATTTAAAAACCTTCATGAATGGAAATGGCTGCTGCAACCTTGGCAGGAAAGGTTTTTATATAACTCTCCTTTTGTTTTTACTATGGAATGATGAACTTAACATTAAGAACACTTTGCATAATGTTAAAAGCTTGAACGGCTTTTCTTGCTAAATTGCTCTTCATTGGTTTGTCTTTGATTGAAACCCTAATGTTCTGTCACTTTGAAACACAGGACAACAATGTCTAATGAGATGTTTTGTGCAATAAGTCTACCGTGCTGTCACGTTTCCATTCTGTCAGCTTTTAAGAAGATTCTAAAAGTTAATTTTGATGAATTTTATTAATAGAGTTCATTATGTGTATGGTGAGAAGCTAAGTTCATCGTAGTGTCTGGAACAAGATTTCATATTTGAGATATTATTGTTCCCATTTTTTTTAACATTGTTTATTCAATAATTATTCCATATTCTTTAACCTGCTCAGAAATACTGCAAGTTTCATATTAACAAATTTGTTTTAATTTGCCTTGTTCAATGCTCAGTATTTTTGTAATTATTCATATAGATACCCTGGCATTTCGTATTCCTGTGAAAAAATTGTTTTCCTTTTAATCTTCCCTGTACCCTATCTCTCTCATCTTTGTTCACTTACAAGACTGCCAAAAATGTTTATTAGTTTTTGTCCTTTGATAAATCATAATGAAATCTCTTGGTTATACTTTATATTTTAATGATTTAAACAAATAAGGGTATACTTGGATACGTACGATGGAGTCTCGATTATCTGGAGCTCTTGGGACTTGATCTCGACTGCTCACAGGATGAGTATGAGATGCATAATAAACTAGCTACCTCTGTCAGCATCAGTCAAACTAATCCCAACTTTATGATAAGCTGGACCACTTTTCTTTCTTTCTGTATAGTTGCCTCTAAATTATTGTATACCTCAAATAATAGTACAGTTCAGTACAGTACATGTATTTATATACACTGAAATATTGTTCCACATTCACATGAAAAGGAACCTTGTTAATTTACTGTACAATACTATATTTGTATTATAATGTTTAAATATCGTTTAAAATTGCAGCTCTATAATTCTACCTGAAATTTGTATTTGGCCCTGAATATCCAAAAAATTTCTCAATTACTGTACTGTCTCGGGAATATTTTTAGATATTTTGTCCAGAAATTAGCAGAATACTGTACAGTACCATTTACCCCAAAAAGTTCCTAAATACCCAAAATGGTCTTTGAATATTTCAGACCATTATCATTATTCAAAGATTTTTGTAATAGACTGTCAGAAAACCTGGTTTCAGATAACCGGGACTCCAATGTACTATACCATATATTTAGAAACTGGATGCAGTGTGAATTACAGTAACTCTAAAACCAATTACTTAATTCTAGTTAATGTTGACATCTTTTGAACACTAGTGTGGCTAATATGTTATTAGTGTTCAAAAGTTCTTTGAATTTTGTACAGAGGACAGTTGTGTATATCATTTTATTTTATGTATTTCTGTATATGAATCTTGGTGTAAACCCCTAATGTCTGTTTCACCAGGATCAAGACACTCGAGGGTAATGAAGGCGCCGGCAAACTAGATCTGGTGATTCAGAGACTTCGTGAACAAGACACTGGTACTTACAACTGCACAGCAACTTACGCTGGCAATCAGAAGCTCTCGGCTAGTGTGGCTGTAAATGCATATAGTAAGTTTAAATAAAAGTAAAATTTTCATTAACTAATGAAGTGAGTTCAAGTATTGATAGTATTTTTGTATGGGTACTAAGTAATGAAATATAATGATATGCAAGAGTGTATTCTTATGAAATGGAAGTGTTTTCTGTGGGGAGCCCCGTTGGCTTCCTGGAGCTATCGGACTGATATTGACTATATTAGTCTGGGGCTTCGGTTATATGGAGTTCTTTTGCCTACCGGGAACCATGAGCCAGAACCCAGTTCCCTCAGAGGGGCAAAGGGAGCAATGGTCTATGAAAGCTCCACTCTTTGAGAGTACTGTACTGTGTATTCATTGGGCCCCCTAACCTTTCCCTCCCAAGATGGGAGGGGGGGGAGGGAATGAGCAGCACGTTGGTTTGATGATGATTTGCTTATTACCTTAATTTTTCTTGAGGGAAGTTCTTGGGCTTTGTTTGGTCTTGGGTTGCAGTTTTTATCAGTTGGGGTCGGTTTTGGGGCGCCTAACCCTGGACAGTGGCAGACATGATTATACAGTACTCTCAAAGGGTGGAGTTTTCATAGACCATTGCTCCCTTTGTCTCTCCGAGGGAACCAGGTTCTGGCTCGTGGTTCCCGGTAGGCATAAGAACTCCATATAACTGAAGCCTCAGATTAATATAGCTAATATCAGTCTGATAGCTCCAGGGAGCCTTCGAGGGGGTGGGGAGGGGAGAAGGCTCGCCCAGAAAATGGCGTTTCATTACATTCGATGCAGATTTTTTTGATGTTGTGATTTTCTGACATTGTGATAATATGATAGCATTCTGTCTATAGTATTAAATTTGCTGTATATTACCTGAAATAAAATATAGTAAAGAATTATGTTTGATGACAAAAAATTATTTTGATGAATTGAACTAACATGTAGAATGTTATATTTTTGACAGTGAACATTGATTTTGGAGATTCGCCTGTCCACCAAACACCAACTATTAACACAGAATACAAGGTTCGGTGTACTCCAGTTGCCAAGCCTGCTCCTCAGGTTGATTGGCTTAAGGATCTTGTACCCATGAAAAATAGTATGTATCCCTTTTTTTTACCGTTTAGCCTAACAACTAGAAACATTCAGTGCCAGCTTTTATGCATCATGTATTCATTTAAATGTGTTTAGAAGTACAAATGTTATTTGATAACTTAATTCGTGTAACTGTTGTTCATGTTCAATGTGTTGTTCTGCTTCAGTGTCTCACTTGATATTGTTGTTCAATGAGTACAGAATACTCACTGTGGTTGAGTTAAAGTTAAATATTTGGAGTCTGGGCCTTTGGCATTCTGACAGTGTGTTGGCGGGACTTTATCGTGTTAATGCCTGTGTGTGCATCTCGTTAATTGGGGGCCTGACAACTGAGTGGACAGTGATCTGGGCTTATAGTCCTAAGGGTCCGGGTTCGATTCCCGGCGGAAGCCGAGAAACCTTGACGAACAGTCACTGTTCATTTCTCTAGCCAAGCACAGTACGTGATGTGTGTACACATCGTCTGAGTCATCATCAGAATCATCAGTCATCCGAGTCATTTCCAAGAACACTTTGAGCAATCTGTTCTTCAGTTAACAATTCATAACCAGGATCGTAATCATTTTCTAACCGTTCATTGATATCATTCACTTGTACATCCTGACCAGCTTGGAGCAACATTGTTTGGATCGTTTCTTCAAGCCCTTCAAAATCATTGGCTTCATTTTCAAAACCTTCGCATTCAGTATCAGATACTGCTGCTTCACATCTAGGCGCCTTTGTTAACAGTTCCTTCCATGAATTTGTTAGTGTGGTTTCTTTCACTTTATTCCAAAGCCTAGTCCAGTGGAATATTGCTTCCCTGATTGTGTACTTTTTTAGATTTAAGGCTCGAGGATTTTTAGACTTGCCTACCACGACATATTTTGTCCTGTGAGAGGCATCAGCATTAGCACAGAGCAAGACTGAGAGTCGTTCCTTGCTTATCTTTCGTCCAGGAATATTTTCCTGAATCCTACTGGTTAAGGATGTACTTGGTACAGCTTGTCACATAAACCGTGTCTCATCAGCATTATATACATGATATTTGCTTAAATTATTACTGACAATATACTCATATAATTTAGCCTTGAATCAACATTAGTGGGATCAGCACTTGACGCCTCACCAGAAATATTTTGGTGTTTGAAATGTTATGCCGAGCCTTAAATCTTCCAACCCACCCATCACTTGCATTGAAATCTTTTATACCTAATTGAATGGCAAGTTTACTTGCTGCAACTTTAAGCTCTTCAAATCGTATTGCCATGCTAATTGTGCGGTGCTGAATAAACAAACCACTTAGACACTGCAGCATCTAATTGTGGATACTGACCAGACTTTACTGTTTTTCTCGAACATGCAGCACCAGAAGTAGCACACTGTTGTGCTCACATGTTTTAATAGGGTATCCTTCTGTTTCTTGATGTCACTTACTGCACTTTTGCCAATGTTAAACTCTGCTGCTGCTCGTACATGAGAATATCCTTTATCGAGTTTCTTAATTAACTCCAGCTTTTGTGCAACCGTCAGGCGCTTCCTTTGGGTAACTTTTGGCATTTTGTAAATAGAAATGAAGATCACAATTAATAGTAATGTCCTTCACAATTGAAGCTAGCCACACTAGTTCACAGTAAACAATGGGAACACATGGCCTGGCACAGTACATTCTAGGTCCGTGGGAAAGAAAATACCTAGTGCCTGTAATATAAAAGGTATTTAATAAGAAAACTAAGAATTTTGCTTAATAACAATTGTTTCATAATATTTTATTAATGCTAATTTAGAATTTTTCTGGGGGGAGCCCCGTCGGCTCCCCGGAGCTATCCCAGGCTGATATGCTAATGTCAGACTTTGGCATCAGTCATGTGTATGGAGTTCTTAGGCCTACCGGGGACCACGGCCAGAACCGGGCCCCCTCAGAGAGGCAAGGGGAGCAATGGCCTATAGAAGCCCCCGTGTAGTTGGAAGCATTCTATGTCTGCCATCGACCGGAACAGGCACCCAGAAAGGTAAGCGCCCCAAAACAAACCCCTATTCTGGTTAAAATTGCTACCTAATACCGAACTAGTGGATAGAACTCCCCAACCGAAAACAAGCAAATTAGTGTGACGTCACACACTGCCGCGCCGCTGTCTGCGCAGCTCCCCCCTCCCCGGGAGGGGGAAGGGGGAGCCCCAGACCCCCCGCGCCGGCTACCCACACCTCAGTTCTTGAGGCTGATGCTATTGGCGGGGGTGCATCATGTTTTGTGTCCGGTTGCGGCGCTTCGCCGTTATTTGCGCGCCACAGCTTCTGTGTCCGGGGACGCGCTGTGGGTTGATCCGGTTTCCCTTCTTCCCTGTTCGCGGGTTCGGGTCTCTCAGGTCGTCCGCAGGGTTATTAGGTCTAGCCAGCCTGCGGTCTATCCCCGTGCCCATGACGTTCGTAAGTTCGCGGCTCTTGCTGCCGTCTTTGGGAATATGTCTTGGTCTGATATTCGGGCGCGGGGATTTTGGCGGTCGAACAGGGTCCTGGCTGCTCGTTACCTTGTGAATGTCCCTGGCCCTCGTCGGGCCTGTGTTGCTTTGGGTCGGCGGTTGCAGCCAGTTGTCTCGGCTTCGAGTTGAGGGGTGAGCGACGACCGCCTCCCGGGTAAGTCCCTCTTTTTCTGTCTGTGGGTAGTTAGCTCCGGGGAGCCGACGGGGCTCCCCCCAGAAAACCAGCGTTGAATGTAATGAAACGCCATTTTCTGGGTGAGTCCCGGAGGCTCCCCGGCATCCCTCCCTCCCTCCGGTCGGCGGTTTTTCGCGTTTTTGACATCCAGCCTCAAGAACTGAGGTGTGGGTAGCCGGCGCGGGGGGTCTGGGGCTCCCCCTTCCCCCTCCCGGGGAGGGGGGAGCTGCGCAGACAGCGGCGCGGCAGTGTGTGACGTCACACTAATTTGCTTGTTTTCGGTTGGGGAGTTCTATCCACTAGTTCGGTATTAGGTAGCAATTTTAACCAGAATAGGGGTTTGTTTTGGGGCGCTTACCTTTCTGGGTGCCTGTTCCGGTCGATGGCAGACATAGAATGCTTCCAACTACACGGGGGCTTCTATAGGCCATTGCTCCCCTTGCCTCTCTGAGGGGGCCCGGTTCTGGCCGTGGTCCCCGGTAGGCCTAAGAACTCCATACACATGACTGATGCCAAAGTCTGACATTAGCATATCAGCCTGGGATAGCTCCGGGGAGCCTCCGGGACTCACCCAGAAAATGGCGTTTCATTACATTCAACGCTGGTTTTTTCATTTAACTGAATCATTTTAAAAGAAAGTTAAGATGTAATATACGACTCCGGACCGATTGAGGTCGGTGGCCTGGTCGTCATGTGAGGGGACGCCGATGCCAAAATAAACTCAATACCGACCATCGGTAATATCGACAGCCAGACTGGTATATGAGGCTCCAGATACCGGTCTCCCAAACCGGTCATTATTACCGGCAAATCGGTATAAAAGAGACCGTTAAATTAAGTGGATACTGTAATTAAATATTTATAGGTTGAGATTGATATTACCATATATGCAAAAAAAGTTATCAGTATATTTTTCATTTGCAGATGACAACTATATCATCCAGCAGGACGGTATATTAATAAAACGTGTGACGGAAGCAGATGAAGGCGTGTATCGTTGTCGGGCACGTGTGCCTGAATTGGGTTCCATTGAATATAGAGACATTCAAGTGGAAGTCTACATACCTCCAAAAATTGACTCTCCTCCCGAAGACACAAAAGGTGTCGAGAAAGATTCTGTTACCTTCCACTGTGGTGCCAGTGGCAAGCCTGTACCATCATATTCTTGGGTTAACAAGAATAATGAACCTCTTGAGAAAAAGGATGATTATTTTGTTGATAGTGAGAAAGGTATTCTAACAATCATGGGGCTGCAACCCGAACATTCTGGTGTCTATCGGTGTACGGCAAAGAGTCTTGCAGGGGAAGATACTGCATCAGCTAACTTGCAAGTTCTTACTAAGCCAAAAGTGATAGAATACTTAAATATCACCAAGCCTGTCGATGATGAGGCAGAGATGCGGTGCATTGCCACTGGTGACCCTTTACCCGAAATTGTCTTCCAGAAGGAGACAAATGCCGAGGCTTTCCAGACTGGAATAAATCAAGATGACAGAATTGAGGTGGAGCAAGCAACTGATGAGGAAAATCGCCGTGTTGGCATGTATGTATAAACTGTGTTAATCCGAGTACTGTACAATTAATTTAGATTTTTTTAATATTCTTGTTAGGGATAACTTGAGGTTTTCTATTTGTAGGTGATCTTGTACTTTGTTTCTTGAGATCTCAGAATGCGTGATCATATTTAATGATTAAATTAAATTAATGAGCCAGTAAGTTGAGGAATGTAGTCTCACTGCAAATATTTGTTGTCTTATAATTTGCACAATATTTAGAAAAGACCTTATCTTATTGATTTGAAACCAACAAGACTTATATGTGATCAGAACACTGAACTCTATTTTGCTATTGGGTTGTGTAGCCCTCTGGCAAGTATTTGTTTTTGCCATAATGAAGTTTTCTCGACATAACCAATACAGTAGCTTAAATTGCACACACGATACAGTGTTATGTAACACACACTCATTTCATGCTCAACTATCCTCTCCAGGACCCTAATTCATAGAGCAGTTACGCAAGTACTTACGAACGATTACATCTTTTGTCAATTTTTTACAAAAGTTACATAAACTAATGAAGCCACTCTTATGAAAAAAACGTTTTGGGGAACTGTAACCGTAAGCTATGTTAAAATCTGTAAATGTATATGGGACTGATGGTTCTTGTAGGCCTTTGTCTAGGCCTTTGAAAATGAATTTTCTCTAAAGTGCTACTACTTTTACCAAAATCTACCCGATGGCCGCCATCTATCCAGTTGCCTCGATGGTTAAAAGAAGACATCTTTTAAATTAATTAATTTTTTTTGTTCAGCCTAAAGATTCGAGGAGTGAGACGATCTGATGATGGACTCTACACGTGCACTGCAAAATCTGAAGGAGGGGAGACGCAAGTCTGGGGGCATATCACAGTGGAATTTAAGCCATCATTTGAAGAACAGCCATTCAAGGAATTATGGTCTTGGAAGCAGCAACCTGTCAACCTAACATGTCTAGCAAGTTCCATTCCTAATGCAACAAGTAAGACCAAAAGTTAGATATTTTTGTTTAAATATATTTATAACATAGCATTTGCATAATCTGCAATAATGAATTTAGTAAAGCAGCTATTTTTTTTTTTTTTTTATGCAGTGCGCATCAATGTTTTGGTTTTCATAGTCAGGGACAGGAAGCCTTTTGGGCTTACTGAGGTCCCCTAAGGCCATCTACAGAAGTTTCTCAGGATGCAACCCACAACACTGGCCTAATTTTGAGGCACATATTAACTGCTAGGTGAACAGACACATCAGTTGAAAGGAAATGTTGCCAAAACATTTTTCAAATTTGCTACAAATTACCTACTTAAATTTATCTGTTAGCTTAAGGACCTGTTTGAAACGCTATGCATGCTAGTGGCAATGCAAGAATGTAAAATCATCAATGCTATGTACTCTCAGAAACCCAATGTACTGTCTTGTATATCTAAATAAATAAATAAAACCTTGTTGACCAGACCACACACTAGAAGGTGAAAGGACAATGACGTTTCGGTCCATCCTGGACCATTCTCAAGTCAATTGTCACAATCTTCTCTCACAATCGACTTGAGAATGGTCCAGGACGGACCGAAACGTCGTCATCCCTTCACCTTCTAATGTGTGGTCTGGTCAACATAATTTAGCCATGTTATTGTGACTCATCGCCTGCAAATAAAACCTTGGCCCTACTGCAGGAATTGAACCCAGAACCTTTGGTTACTAGGCAATGACACTGCTCAGTTTCATCCATATACAATAGTGTACACTGAAGATCCAGTAGTAAAAAAAAGTAGTTGTGATAATAGTAAATAACATGTATACAAAAGCTTGGGACACTTTGTTGCCTTCATGTAGTTATGTGTTTTATAGTACTTAGGTCCAGTGGTACTTGTCCATGGCTAAGTCAGGGAACCCGAGGTCACTCCCTGAACGGGACAGAAATTGTTGGGCATGTTTCCCTTCACCTGATGCCTTGGTTCACCTAGCAGTAAATAGGTACCTGGGAGTTTGGCAGCTATTGTGGGTTGCTTCCCTGCAAAAGTTCAGTAGTTGGCATTAGGGGGACCTCAATAGGCCTAACAGGCTTCCTGTCTTTGATATTTTGACAGTCTCCGTGGTGTAGTGGTAAGACACTCGCCTGGCGTTCCGCGAGCGCTTTGTCATGGGTTTGTATCCTGGCCGGGGAGGATTTACTGGGCGCAAATCCTTAACTGTAGCCTCTGTTTAACTCAACAGTAAAATGTGTACTTGGTTGTAACAACGATTTTTCGTGGTGGGGATCGTATTCCAAGAACCTGCCTGAAATGCTACACGTACTAGTGGCTGTACAAGAATGTAACAACTCTTGTATATATCTCCAAAAAAAAAAAAAAAAAAAAAAAAAAAAGGAATTATTATTATTGTACTGTATGTGTAAACAGCTTGTGATTTGCACTGTTCTAGATTACATTGAATCAGTTGCTGCTGGTAAGCATTTTATAAACAAGTTTCTAATGTGAATTTTGGAAGCAGTTAGCCCAATCGCAGCTGTGAGCATAACTGGTAATTTTCTGCCAGACTAACCAGACAGCTTTATCTAGATGCATTAATGGGTGGTTGGTCAATATTAATAACGATGTACAAACATGACATAAATTATTGTTCTTCCATTGAAATTGCATTTAAAACTGTCATACTCTTATAGATTTTACACCTTGTTTTACCTTTGAGAAGGCATTAAGAAAAATACTGAATTATGCATATTAATTTTATCAGGGACAGGCAGCCTGTGTATATACACATGTTAGGCTCGTGTTGAGATCCCCCCCCCCCCCCCCAAGGTCAAACTAGTAACCTATTCCCAATATGCACCCCATAACAGTTGACTAACTCCTGGGTACCTACTTATTTGTATTTATTTATATACAAGATTATTATTTATATACTAACACACACAGCATTTCGGGCAAGCAGGTTTCACCTATTTAGTGGTAGGTGAACAGGGGTATTAAGGGAAAGTCGAATGAACGCACCTGTACTAACAAGATCCTAGGCACTTCCTAACAATTACAAATAATTACAAAAAGGGTAGATAATTAATAATTAAAAGGGTAGATCATAAAAGTAATCATTTTGGCTGTATTATGAACATTCTTGTGTCCTAGGAACATTCATTTTTCATTTTGCTGGCTGATGTCTCCCGAGACGCATGTGTAAGTGGGAAGTGAGAATCTGTTAATGAATGAATGAATATTTTTTCCATGGGGGCAAAAATCAGTTACGTTTGTATGATAACTACAGTATATATATATGTATAGTAAAAAAAAAGTATAAAAGTGTAAAAATTCATGTACAATTTTTATACTGTATTAGATATCAGATATCTAATAAATAGTTTTCATTTAAGAAAAATAATTTTTTTTGGCTAGCATTTATTTTGCATTTCATTTATGAATACATTACAGTAATATTATTATAATTTATATTGCTGAGGAGAGGAAGCTTGGCAGTGTTTTCAAGGTCCCTCTAAGCCTTTGACAAAGCCAAAATGCGACCCACAATAGTTGGCTAACTCCTAGTTACCTATTTGCTGCTAGGTGAATAGACACATACTAGTACGGTGTAAGGAAGCATGGCTAAACATATCTGCCCATTGAAGAAATCGAACCCACGGCATTTTGGGTATGAACCAACTGTGCTGAATTGTATGCAACGGTGGTGAGTTCTTCCATGTTTATTTATTTATTTATGCATATACAAGAAGGTATGTTGGGAATGTGAGGATACATAATATGGTAATTTCAATCTTGTAAAGCCACTAGTACGCGCAGCGTTTCGGGCAGAAACGTCTTGGGGGATCTCAAAATGACAGTTGATGTGTCTGTTTACCTAGCAGTTAATATGTGCCTCAAAATTAGTGCCTCAAAATTAGGCCAGTGTTGTGGGTTGCATCCTGAGAAACTTCTGTAGATGGCCTTAGGGGACCTCAGTAAGCCCAAAAGGCTTCCTGTCCCTGACTATGAAAACCAAAACATTGATGCGCACTGCATAAAAAAAAAAAACTAGCCGTTTTCCTGTCTACTATACGGTATACCTGTACCCTCTACCCATGTGACTCTAAGATATAAGTGTTATTAAACGGCTCTTGATCTTTACAGTTCAGTGGTATCTTCGTAATCAGGAAATTTTTAAAAATGATCCAAATCTCAAAGTTCTTGAATATGGTCCACTTGGCGTTCTCAGAGTTCATCCTGTCAGTAACAGTTATTTTGGAGATTACACGTGTGAAGCCACTAACCGCCTTGGAACGGCAAAAATGAGTTTGGAGCTAAAAGAAGCACATGCTCCAGGGCCAATTACCAGTGCCAAGGTAATAGATAATATAATGTATATTTTCCAACCCTTATTCTGTAGTAAATTTATATGCAAACTTAGTATTAATGCAATATCTATAATTGCTATAATTGAATGTATAAGAGGATGAATGTTAAGATACCTCTTAACTGGTACTTGGATGGACATAACAGGTGGAGAAGAAGACAGCGACCACTATCACCTGGAGTATTATTGACCCGATGGATGATGGTGGACTTCCCATCCAAGGATATATTGTGGAATACCGACTCCAAGATTTGACTTGGGATAATGCTCAAAGTACTCAGTGGACCAAAGGTACATCACATCTTTCAAGTTGCTGCTTTTTCTCTGTTACTGGACAAAATTGCATGAAATGTATTTAAAAAGTGTGCTTCATAAGTGTATTTACAGAGTTACTTGTAACTAATTGTTGTCATAACAAATGTGAATCTTAGGTTCTTCGTACACTTTGGATGGACTAAAGCCACAAGAAACGTACATTTTCCGCTTTGCTGCTCGAAGTGAAGCTGGAAATGGAGAATGGAGCGGTGAAAAAGTGAGTCTTAAATTTTATTCAGATTTTATGCTAAAGTTTGAAGATGCACATCATCCAATCAGTCTGTCTTTTTAGAAAGATACAGTCAGTGGACAGTTAAATTTGTTGACATTGACAGTATTAAACTTGAGTCAGTATTATTCTAATCCACTAATACATGCAGCATTTAGGGCATTTTAATTTAAGTGTATTGTAATTTTATCAATGAATATGGTGGAAATAATGGTGAATTCTTTGCATTATAGTCGAAATGGCTGTACACTTGCTCCTGATAAAATACCTTGTCTCTCTAGGGTCATCCATAGAAAGAGTAATGTGGGGGTGAGGAAAAGGAAGGATTTATCAAGGGAAAGCGCGAAGCCATTACGACTATATAGCACTTGGAAGGGGTCAGAATAAGGACATGGGATGGGACGGGGGGAATGAATGGCGCCCAACCACTTGGACGGTCAGAGATAGAACGTCAACCTGCATGACGCGAGACCGTCGCTCTACTGTCCAGCCCAAGTGGTTGGGCATAATGTGGGGTGAGGAAAATAGGGGTTATCTCATGCCCCACTGTAAGTTCTTCAATGTCAATCTTCTGACCTTTCCTAGAAAGCCACCCTACAACATTTGTCTAACTCCAGAGTACCTATGTACTGCTCGGTGAATAGAGGCATTAGGTAAGAGGAAATGTGTCCACTTATTTCTGTCCTGCCCATGAATGGAAACCAGGGTCCCCGATCACGTGTCGAAAATGAAGTCAACCATGAGTGAACAGAAACCTTGCCAACACAAACTGAAAATAGTACATCGAATTTAGTTTGAGATATTCTCAATATCTTTCCCAAGGCTCCAGCTGTTTCTTATAATGTTGAGTCCACCTATAAAAATCATCACAAACATAATTTCCATTCATATCTAAAATTTTCCAACATGCTATGGGCTGATTTCACCGAGTGAAAATAAAGTTTCAACCAGTCATAAAATGAAAGACAGCAACCAAGAGAACCTGTATGTAAAGAGATTTCACCACTTCTAGCAAATTTTCCACACCCAATCCTCAAAAATATAATTTTCAGAGGAAATGGGGGCACATTTTTTGCTGAACAAAAACCTCGGCAACCAGAAATAAAAAAGCAGCCGAATTGGAGATTTGCCGAATTGAGGCTCATTGAATCGAGGTTCCATTGTATATGCATAGGTGGTAAAATTTTATGAGATAGCAACATGTTTTACAATTTAATTAAAAACTTTATTCAAAATAAACAATAAATGATAAATTTACCTGACCGTATCTGAAGGCCCTTTTGTTCCTAAAAATTGTTGACATCATCTTGTGTAGATCTGTCTTGGGGTATTTATGGTTTCAGCAGGTAAAAGATTTCATGGGTCTGTAATCACCTGACTGAAAAATCATTTGAGCTTTGTCCTCAATTGTTGCTTAAGCTTAAAACTGCTGCCCATTGTTTGAGTCACATTTGAATATTTATATAAAGTATATAGTTTGAATTAATGTTGTGGAGTTGATGTTGATATTAATCAAGGTCTCAATATCGTTTTCCTATATGCTTTTCTGTAGATCATTGTATCGGTAAATTTGATACAAGGCTCTATGTTCATACAAATACAGTATACCCATATTCAATGCATGCACCTTTATTCCTCTGTATGAAGCTGCATGTTCATATGAAAGTACCACCGTTCAGTGTATGCACCTTTACCTCGGTATATGCACTAGCCCTCTGGGTATCTATTAGATTTTATAAAGCCTTTACAGGTGAAATGTCATATTCAAATCACTGTAGATATATAATAATTTTGACATTTGTCTATGTATTCAAGAGGTAGTGAAATGTATTAGGTGAAGTGGATGGTATTTATAATTAGTTTAACACTGTATTGTGCTTCGGTGAATATTATTGATAAGGTATAAATGTTTCTGCAAAAACTTTGTAGCTAAATTCACTGGTATGTGAACATTATTTTCTTAAAGAGAGGGCATTATATTATTCTTTAAATAAAAATAACTATTTTTAAATTAGAGTGAAGAAATGCCAAGACGAGCTGCTCCAGAGGAACCTCTGATCTTCAACGTTGATAAGCACGTAACGGAAATACCGTACCCAAACCAGTATATGTTGCAGTGGCAAGTGCCTCTTGACAATGGAGAGAAAATTGATTTCTTCCAGATTATCTATTACCAGGTATGATATGGTATTGTTTATTTTTATTTTGAGGGTATTTTGTATTTTATTCTTTTGGCAGAGCAGCTTTTGCAAAATATTTGTAGTTATCTTGTAAGGGCACGAGCTTGTTTCTACTTGTCTTTTCTTAATAAAGAAGGGGGAGGGGAAATATAATGACATAAATACTGTGTGTTGATTCCTGTTACTATTTTGTACACTGTGATCATATCGGCTCTTTTTCTTCTATTTAATAGTTTTGGCATATTTAATGCCTCTAAGCTCTCCTTGTAGCTCTTGTCTTTCAGTTCTGGGAGCCGTTTAGTTGCATGTCCTTGCACCTTTTCCAGTTTGTTGATGTGCTGCTAATGATATGGGCACCATACAACTACTGCATATTCCAGCTTTGGTCTCACAAAGGTCGTGAACAATTTCTTTAGTATTTCACCTTGTATTTAAAAGCAAATCTGAAATTGGAAAGCTTAGCATAGGATCCTCGCACAGTGTTCTTTATGTGGTCCTCAAGTGATAGTTTTCTATCTAAGAACCACCCCTCGATCTCTTTCTTCGTCAGAATTGTTTAAAGCCTTTCCCACATAATTTGTAGGTTGTGTGTGGTCTATTTTATCTTATTCCACGTTCAATAACATGGCATTTATTTACATTAAATTCCATTTGCCAAGTGGTGCTCCGTACACTTATTTTGTCAAAGTCTTCTTGAAGGGCATGACAATCATCTAGGTTTCTTATATTCCCCATATCTTGGCATCATCAGCAAACAAGTTCATATAATTCTGTATTCCTTCTAGTAGATAATTTTTGTAAACAATGAATATTACCAGTGCAAGAACTGAACTCTGGTACTCTAAGAGTAACGTTTCTCCAGTCTGATACATTGCCTCCGATTACTACACTCATTTTTCTGTCAGGAAATTTTTCATCCATGCTAGAAGCCTCCCTATCACTTCTCCAATTTTGTCCAGTTTCCAGAACAACCTCTTTGTGGGACTCTGTTGAGAGCCTATTTTAGGCCCAGATAAATACATCTTATACCTGTATTTTAGGAATATCATGCATGTACTGTATGATATCCTCTTCTGTCCAAGGTGCACAATGTGACAGGAGTGTGGGAAAATGCTGGCACTAAGATGACAAGAGAAGTGGAATTCCCGGGCCAAACGACCTACACCATCGAGAACCTGCGTAGTAACTCGTATTACAAGATTGAGCTACGTGCCCACAACGAAATAGGCTTCTCAACTCCTGCCGAGGCAGTTATCAAGACTGCTAATGGTATGTTCAACAAAACCAAAAGTGTTTTGTAGATTGGAATTATTTAGATCATTGCTTTTAGTGCTAAAATATGAATTTAACATTTGCACTTTAATTTGAATATTTTAGTATCAGGGAAATGTTAATTTTTGTTGCTGAAATCTCTCACAAATAGCGATTAAATGTAAAAATGTAATATCTTGACGTATATAAGTATTTGAAGAAAGTCACACGTTTTACCTGATGGTTAGATTAATGCAGTATAGTAAAATGTTTCCTGCATCAGCCGAGTATAACGCCATTTATGTAATATCTAGAGAAGTTTATTATTGATGCAAAGTTAGTACTGTATTAGGATTTGTGTAGAGAAGTGGTGTTTATTGAACTGTTTGGGGGAATCTTTATATTTAATTCCTAAAATAAGGCACTTTTATTTAGGAATTTGTTTTAATTTGCTAATTACATTCCAGGAATTTACTAATTATCTTCCTTGCAGAAACTTTAATTTCAGTACAGTATTTGCGATAAGCACGTCTGGTTTTCCTTAGTCTTGCTGCAGTGCTCCTATAGTTTTTAAATACCAGAGCAGTTTTTAGATAAGTAAACCAGTCTGGAGTATTTGCATTTCAGTGTTTTAAGAACTTTACATGATAGAAGAAAAGGTTCCAGGTTTATAATTTCTGGAAATGAGTTTGAAGAGGAAACGAAAATAGGTAGCCATTGCAACCCTTGAGGAGCATTAAATGTCTCTCAGTAATGAAACTTGTGCACATTCTCTAATTACCAGTCTTCAGTTTCATGTAGTCTGTGTCATGTTATTTCTTTTCCATTATGCAAGTCTCAGTCGAGTCGTGATACACTATGTCCTCCCCTGTCATTTACGGCTATTTAGATGTTTCTCTGTAGATAGTCTATTTCCATTTCAATTTTGTATATTTTGTATAACTTGTATATAAAGTTGATTAATTCAGCCTTTAATAATGTGTTTTGTGTGTTACGTGTGCATGGCTATCAAATCACAAATTGCTCGCATTTAAGCTGTTGGGTACTCGTGTTTGCTGTTTAACTAATACCATACATTAATTATCATTGGTAAACAAAATATAATTTTACATTGATTGAATTTTTTCACTCTTACCAGAATATGTTTTGAAGTACAGTACAGGTATCTGATTTGTTTAGAAGCATACTGTTGTAATATAGTGTAAAGAAAATGGTTTTTATTTCTAAAGTACAATAGTTATTTTACCTGCACCACATTTTGCAGAGGAATTATTTGTTAAATTTTGTGCCTGTAGAGCTGATGTTTACTTTATAACAAAAGGCCTCTGATGGCAATGTCTTAATTTATACATAATTGAAAAATGAAAGATAAATTGATTACAATTTTTTTGTTATTGCTGGCACCAGTTGTGCCATTTTCATTCTGTTATTGAATTCACTTACACATGTATTGGGTCTTTCCTTCCCCTTCATTAAGTAAAATTACTTATTTCAAGAGAATTAAAATCTGAAGTTTTGAGAATTGTATTTGCTTACATAAATTATTTACAGCATGTAGTCACTGCATCTTTATGCCTGCATCTCGGTAAAAAGTCCGTTGACGCTATAAGCTTATTCCACTGTCTTAGCGTTTAGGTGGAATAGAGACATTTGTACTTAAATGATATATAAAACTGTTAAGGCAGTGAATCACTATTATAATAGTATGCAGAATTGATCAGAATAATATATGGTAGGACTTTACAGCAAACTAGAATCTCTCAGTATTTATAATTGTTAATATGTACAGTTCTTATTTTTTATTAGTGTGTGAATGAGTTCTCTCTCTTTCTAAGCTTTAGGTAAGAATAAAGTATTCAATAATTGAAGTAAATTGTATAGTGGTCTTATTTGTTTTGCAAGTTCTTTTATAAATACAGTAGCTAAATTGAGATCTACTCTACTAAACAGTTTCAGTGAGGGATGAAGATCCAATGTTAAGTGGTGTGTGTTGCTAAATGTGATATTTGTGATGAGATGAAGCGAGCCAATTTATCAGGATAATTGTAATCCAAATTTTAATTACTGAACATAGTGAATATGATATTATCTGTAATAGTTGTTGCCTGATTCCTACCAATGTTGTATGGGTAAATGTGGTTGTATAATTTATTTTTATCCTGTAATTTATGTCATGATATGAGTTTCACAATAGCTGTGTGTGAGTGTGTGTGTGTTAAGTGTGATGGTGTTTGGTAGGCAACATCCCGTCCCATCCCACTATGTGCCTCTCAATGTTTTCGTGTGGGGTGTTGTTGCTGAGTGTGGGGTTGTTGTGTGTGTTACAGATCCATCGGCAGTGACAGGTAGCGGGTCGGGGCCGTCCGTGCAGTACAGTAGCGTTGCCCCTTCCACCAGTGCCCCCGCCCACGGTACCTTTCTGCTTACTGTCTGCTGCTGCTGCCTTCTCTCTGCCCTCACCGCCGCCACTACGCACTAAGCCACATCACTACTTCTACATGCCCATACTTAATACTCATCTAGGAATCAATCTAATTTTATGATGTCAGGACCAAGTTTACAAGAGATAATTCAATAGGAATAATAATGGTTTATGATGGCTGAATCAACTTCATTTTCCCTTTGGATTGGTGTTCCTTGGCTGAACCTGCAGCTCATCTTGTTCTTACTACTTAAAGATTAGTGTCAAAAGGTTTAATGGATAATACTCCTGTCACGTATAGTTTGTTTTGCTTTAAAAATTTAGTAATACAGTTCTTTGAATAATAAGGCTATGGATGACAGGAAAACTATTACGAAAACTCGAATGCTCGTTTAGTAGCTGAGCATCACACAAATAAGTCTGTAGATATTATTGACTACAAAGATGCTACTAAAGGAAAAATAATGAAACGGACAGTGTTATACGAGTAATAGTGACTTTGTTATATATATTGATAATATATTCATTAGTGAGAGGAGTGCTAGAATGCGTGGACTTGTGATCTTTAAATGCCCAAGCTACCTTAAGGTATATATATAGAGCTGGGGAGATGTACAGTACAGCTAATATGCCTCATATTTGGGCAGTTATCCAAAGACTTTCTTTTGGTGTACATTTGTGTGGTCATAATATAAGTAGCAATTTTGATTAGGTTGTAGTGAATGACTAACTTTTTCCTTTTTGGTTCTGTATTTTTTGTACAGAATGTGTTTTTTTTATATGTATATATATATACTGGTATATAGTGTTTTAGATGTGCTTAACACAAGGAATTATTCACACAAATTGTTTTAATAAATTATTTAAAGTATTTTTACAGTCACTTAATAAAATTTTCATTACCGATCAATTCTAAACATTTGAGCAAAATAATTTATCGAGGAGAAAAAAGTAGCCAATTATAATTTGTGGTTTACATGATCAGTGAAATAATTAGCGCTTCAAAAAAACACATGAAGTTGACTTTAAAAACGTGTGAGCATTTGATCAAGTTTACACACAGTGTAGCAGTAAAGTAAGCCATACTGAAATATGAGTTATTTCATTATTATAGCATGTCAGAAAGGATGCCAAGTATGTGCAGTTCAGACCTTTAAATACTGATTTCCTTGATTAACATATTTATTCAGCCAAGTACGGTATTTGCTGCTCGACCCAAAATAATATTGATATTTTTTATAAAAATATTTTTGGCTTTGTTTTTGATGCCACTGTACATATTTCAGTGTGTGCATGTCTTGCAATTGAAGTCTTGATAAATCAATTTTTATTATCATCCGCAGCATCTTTTTCTTTAATTAATTAACAATGCTGACCTGCCATTGTTACCGAGATAGAGACAAAAAACAAGCAAGCAGACAAGAACAAGTTGAGTAACAAGTACAGTACTGATGAGAGGGGTAGAGGTCTTTGTTTGGTCTGGACTGCCACATGGCTAACGTGCACTGCCGGTGTTGTTGTTGCGTTTTCCCCTCCCTCCTTGGCTGCTGCGGCATTCTTAACATGGGTACCACACCTCATTCCAGTAGCTATTTGCGCTCGTGCCAGCAAAGACATTTTACAGCTATAACTCATTAACAGGTACACACAGTATACATAGTACAGTATATACATAAAGGTCATACATTATTCATAGTGGTTTATCTCATAAATCATCATGTTTTAAGAGTTAATGTTAAGGTACTGAACTTCCACGTAGTGTAAGATGCAAGGCAGTGTGACTGTAACGCTCTGACAGCAACTCTGAAAACATGCATATAGGTATGTGTTTGATGAAATATTTTGATACAGCCTTTAGGTCTCAAGTGTGTTAGTCACTAAATAATATTCTAATGATCAAAGCTGAGGATGATTATTATAGTCCTCAATCATAGCCTGTGTCATAATATAAAGCTGAGCTCATTGTTAGTGATAATCATTAGGACCTTTTAAAAAAAGATTCCTATAGTTATATGTGTGGTGTAGTGGCGGCGTGAAAGTAAAAAAACAAAAAAAAACAAAAGGGCGATTCTTTCTACATTATGCATTGTTGTGTTTGCTGAAGCTCAATCATTCTACCTTTCTCACTTTCTTTTTTTCCTCTACTTAATATTTAACAACCCTAACTACTACTACTACTACGCGGCGGAGTCGAGGTAGGAGAGTCCAACCTCGTTCCTTTCACATTGTATCCCTTACCTCCCGTGGAGTGGTGGTGCCGGAGGAGAAAACCTGAAGAAGCAGGGGAATCAATTGATAGTGGGTCACTGAGGAGACATTATAGTGGATTACTGAGGAAGCATTATAGTCAGTGTGTTGACTGCTTGCTTCACTTTGCTTCTTTTACTCTCCATACTCTCTTTCTTGACAAGAAAAGGGTTAGTTTTATCTTAATTTTTGTGTTCTCAAAACATTCAAATTGTTGAATTTTATTACAGTGTTGTAAATTTGTATGAGTGGAAGTTGGATGAAAGACAGAAAACATGAGAAAATCCAATTGACAGATATTAGTCAATGTCAAGTGATCCTTCTCAATTGTAAGCATGATCAGGAAAAGACTATACCAGAAATTTAAGTTAGTTTTTAAAATTAATTTGTTTTAAATCTTTCTAAATGGTCTGCCTCACCCTTATGTATTTCCTGGAAAATGATTATAATTAACCTAGTTGATAAAATAGTATCAAGGGTAGAGATGTGCATTGAAATGTCTTTTGTTTTCAAATTGATTGCATGTGCTAAAAATTATTTTTAGCAGTGACTGTTTTGTAAATGTAATTAGTGGCACATCAGTAGTTTTCCTCGTGTGTTATGAAGTTTTAATTCAAGTTTTTAATGCGTTATTTATGACGATATGGGTATCACTCCGGCGCCACTGTCCCAGCACCCTATACTCAAAGTAGTCCTCGGCACATTATTTTTCTCAGCACTCCTTAGTTATCATCATCTTGGGATTAGCGCTTTACATCACAATGTAATCCAAATTATATATGTAATTGTTGTGCATTTCTTTACATGCTTCATTTTTATTTTTTTAACAATTACTGCAAAAATGAAACAAAATCATGAATGCAAATGTAGATACTTTACCCCAGGATGACGATGGCGAGTCTGCATGTATTGTTGAGACGTTTGTTGGATGGCTTAGTAAAACCAACCACAAATGTTCTTAACTTTTTACCAAGTGTTTTGTCTTGAGATTGGGTGTTCAATCTTCTAAGTGTTTGCTTCAATGGTTTGTGTTTTTGTACAATACCAGTAATTATTAGTTTGATTTGTCCGTGAAATGTAATGGTTTTGTTATTTATATTTTATGTTGTGAATGTTTTCATCATAACAGTCGTAGGGAAATCCGTTTTATTTCTTGGACGTTGTTATTACGTGCAAAGTCTGACCACACTCAGCCCCAGAAAGTAGCCTTAGTGGTGTTGCTCTAAATGGGAAAACTACATTCTCCCTTCATTTCACATTATTTATACAAATTTCTTTCTAAATGTATTAATCCAATTATGAGAATAGCGAGAAATATACTCTTAAATAGTAAAATAAAAGGGGCTATGATACAGCATTGCATGGTGCATAATTATACATTGTAAAATCTGTCGTCAGGATTATATTTGTGGGCTCTGTGGTTACAATCATGAGTTTTGATTAGGCATACTGCTCATTAGTTTCTTCAGTGGCAGAATATGTGGTAGACTACTGTTCTGCTTTGTACTATAAGAATTATTGGAAAACCAACACCAGAAATAATACAGTTCCCTCATTTCTGTAAAGTGCTGTTAGTTTCTGTAAGATCATGTTAACTGGAATTCTCTAATATATTTATATAAAAAATACAGTATTTTGGAGATTTTTTTTAATTCGGCAGTATAGTAATAATATATATGGGTACTGTCTGTGTGGTATTAAAAATATACATAATTATCATAAATTTGGGGATGGAAACACAAAATGTGTGTAATTACCTAAGTGTAGTTACAGGATGAGAACTACGCTCGTGGTGTCTCGTCTTCCCAGCACTCTGTCATATAACACTTTAAAATTACTGACGGTTTTGGGCTCCACCACCACCTTGCCTAACTTGTTCCAACCGTCTACCACTCTGTTTACAAAAGTGAATTTTCTTATATTTCTACGGCAGCTTTGTTTCATTAGTTTAAATCTATGACCTCTTGATGTTGAAGTTCCAGGTCTCAGGTGCACTTAATGAATTTGAGAATAATTCTGCTTGCTGGGTTGACTCATTTGAAGCAGTATATTATTGAGTTTCTTGAAGAGTACAAGAATGTGTGGTAAGATTGAAGATTGTCTCAGAAAAAAAGTAATCTTATTAGGAGATTATGAAAATATAGAAAGAACAGACAAAACTAGAATTATGGGGGAAAATCAAATCTAAAATAAAAATCATTATTGAAAGCAATTTAATTCTTAATTTCTATTCTGAATTATGCATACAAAATTTGTAATGTCAGTATTAAAAATGAATTACATAGCTAAGCACTTACACAAGCTAAGCGGATAAATCCATTGAAGCTGGGGATAGAGGGAGAAGATATTAATGAAAGCTAAGGGCGAAAGAGGGGATTCATGCAAGCTAGAAGGTAGAAGTTAATCCGAGCTAGGAGGAGAAAATCGTCAAAGCTAAGGGGGGGGGGGACAATTCACTCGAGCTAGGGATAGAAATTCATCCAAGATGAGGGAAAAAATTCGTCAAAGGTAAGGGGAGAGAATTTACTTGTAATATAACAAATGACATTGTATTTTCTTCACAGGTGTAAAGCTGTTACATATATTTAAGTGGTTTGGAGGTACAGTAATATGTCTTGGCTGCTGCAATGTTTCTATATTAAATATCAAAATAAAACTGTGGCTGTTGATAATGAAGCATCACATTTAAAACACGCAAGAACCTTGTGTGTGTATCAGGACGTGCAAGGTTCTTCTATCCTG